TCGATTCCATTGGTCGACTTCTCTGTTTTTATGCCAATACCAAGCTGTTTTCAATACTGTAGCTCTGTAATAGAGTTTGAAGTCAGGGATGGTAATGCCTCCAGACAAACCTTTATTGTATAAGATTGTTTTGGCTATCCTGGGTTTTTTGTTTTTCCATATAAAGTTGATTATTGTCTTCTCCAGATCTGTGAAGAATTTTGATGGGATTTTGATGGGGATTGCATTGAATCTATAGATTGCTTTTGGTAGAATTGCCATTTTTACTATGTTGGTCCTCCCAATCCAAGAGCAAGGGAGGTCTTTCCATTTTCTGGTGTCTTCTTCAATTTCTTTCTTCAAAGACTTATAGTTCTTGTCAAGTAGATCTTTCACTTCCTTGGTCAGGGTTACCCCAAGGTATTTTATGCTATTTGTGGCTATAGTGAAAGGTGATGCTTCTCTGATTTCCCTCTCTGCTTCCTTATCCTTGGTGTATAGGAAGGCAACTGATTTTTTGGAGTTGATCTTGTATCCTGCCACGTTACTAAAGCTGTTTATCAGCTGTAGGAGTTCTTTGGTAGAATTTTTGGGGTCGCTTATGTACACTATCATATCATCTGCAAATAACGAAAGCTTAACTTCTTCCTTTCCAATACGAATCCCCTTGATCTCCTTATGTTGTCTTATTGCTATTGCTAGAATTTCAAGCACTATATTGAAGAGGTATGGCGAGAGTGGACATCCTTGTCGTGTTCCTGATTTTAGTGGGATGGCTTTGAGTTTTTCTCCGTTTAATTTAATGTTAGCTGTTGGCTTGCTGTAAATAGCTTTTATTATATTTAGGTAGGACCCTTGTATCCCTATTCTCTCCAAGACCTTTATCATAAAGGGGTGTTGAATTTTGTCGAATGCTTTTTCCGCATCTAGTGAAATGATCATATGGTTTTTTTCTTTCAGTTTATTTATATGGTGGATTACATTGATAGATTTGCGTATGTTGAACCAGCCCTGCATCTCTGGGATGAAGCCTACTTGATCATAATGGATAATTTTTCTTATGTGTTCTTGGATTCGGTTTGCCAGTATTTTATTGAAGATTTTTGCGTCGATGTTCATGAGTGAGATCGGTCTGTAATTCTCTTTCTTGGTTGGGTCTTTTTGTGGTTTTGGTATCAGGGTAACTGTAGCTTCATAAAAGGAATTTGGCAATGACTCTTCTGATTCTATATTGTGAAATACCTTAAGGAGTATAGGTATTAATTCTTCTTGGAAGTTCTGGTAGAATTCTGCATTGAAACCATCTGGTCCTGGGCTTTTTTTCGAAGGGAGATTTTTGATAACCATTTCTAATTCTTCGCGAGAAACCGGTCTATTTAGATCATTCACCTGGTCTTGGTTTAGCTTTGGTATATGATACTTATTTAAAAAAATGTCCATTTCTTTTGTATTTTCCAGTTTTGTGGCATACAGGCTTTTGTAGTAAGATCTAATGATTCTCTGAATTTCCTCTGTGTCTGTGGTTATGTCCCCCTTTTCATTTCTGATCTTATTTATTTGCGTGTTCTCTCTCTGTCGTTTAATTAGTTTGGATAGGGGTTTGTCGATCTTGTTGATTTTCTCCAAGAACCAGCTTTTTGTTTCATTGATTCTTTGGACTGTTTTGTGTGTTTCTATTTTGTTGATTTCAGCCCTCAGTTTTATTATTTCCAGTCTTCTACTTCTCCTGGGCTCGTCTGCTTCTTTTTTTTCTAGAGCTTTCAGGTGTGTTTTTAAGTCCCCAATGTATGCATTCTCCGTTTTCTTTAAGTGGGCACTTAGTGCTATGAACTTTCCTCTTAGCACTGCTTTCATTGTGTCCCATAGGTTTGAGTATGTTGTCCCTTTATTTTCATTAAATTCAAGGAAGACTTTAATTTCTTTCTTGATTTCTTCCTTGACCCAGGTGTGGTTCAGTAGTTGACTGTTCAGTTTCCATGAGTTTGTCAGTTTTTTGGGGGCAGCGTGGTTGTTGCCTTCTAACTTTAATCCGTGATGATCTGATAAGACACAGGTGGACACTGATATTTTTTTGTATCTGTGGAGGTTTCCTTTGTTTCCGAGTATGTGGTCAATTTTTGAGAAGGTTCCATGAGCTGCAGAGAAGAAGGTATATTCTTTCCTATTTGGGTGGAATGTTCTATAGATGTCTGTTAAGTCCATTTGCTTCATTACCTCCAATAATTCTCTTAATTCTCTATTAGGTTTCTGTCTGATTGACCTGTCCCTTGGAGAGAGAGGTGTGTTGAAGTCTCCTACTACTAGTGTGTGTGGTTTGATGTCTGCCTTGAGTTCTAGTAATATTTCTTTTACATAAGTAGGTGCTTTTATATTGGGGGCGTATATATTCAGGATTGAGACGTCCTCCTGATGAATTGTTCCTGTTATGAGTATAAAGTGACCATCTCGGTCTCTTCTGATTGATTTTATTTTGAAGTCAGTTTTGTTAGAAATTAGTATGGCCACACCTGCTTTTTTCTTAGGACCATTTGCTTGAAACACCTTTTCTCAACCCTTTACTCTGAGTAGGTGCCTGTCTTTGTGGTTGAGATGTGTTTCTTGCAAACAGCAGAATGTTGGATCCTGTTTTCGTATCCAATCTTTTAGCCTGTGCCTTTTTATAGGTGAATTGAGCCCATTAATATTAAGTGATATTAATGACCAGTGGTTGTTTACTCCGGTTATTCTTATTGCTTTTGGTAGTAGAGATTGTGTGTCTCCTTTCTTTGAGATGTGCTCGTGAAGGGTCATTAGATGCCTGGGTTATTGTAGGCAGTGTTGGCAGTGTTGGATTCCTTGGGTTGCGATTTTCCTTCTATTACTTTCTGTAGGGCTGGATTTGTGGCTACGTATTGTTTAAATTTGTTCTTATCCTGGAATGTCTTGTTTTCTCCGTTGATAGTGAACGATAGCTTGGCTGGGTATAGTAGTTTGGGTTTGCATCCATGGTCTCTTAGCTTCTGCAGAACCTCTATCCAGGACCTTCTGGCTTTCATAGTTTCCATCGAGAAGTCAGGTGTAAGTCTGATCGGTTTACCTTTATAAGTTACTTGCCCTTTTTCTTTTGCAGCTCTTAATATTCTTTCTTTAACCTGTATATTTTGTGTTTTGATTATTATATGGCGAGGAGATGTTTTTCTTTGATCCAGTCTGTTTGGTGTTCTGTATGCTTCTTGAATATTTAAATGAATATCTTTCTTTAAGTTGGGAAAGTTTTCTTCCATAATTTTGTTGAAAATATTTTCTGAGCCTTTGAGCTGTGACTCTTCTCCTTCTTCTATTCCTATTATTCTTAGGTTTGGTTTTTTTATTGTGTCCCATAGTTCCTGAATGTTTTGTGTTGAGAATTTGTTGGCTTTGCTGTTTTCTTTGATCTGTTCGTTTATTTTCTCTATGGTGTCCTCAGCATCTGAGAGTCTTTCTTCTAGCTCTTGTATTCTATTGATTATGCTTGTTTCTGTAGACTCTGCTCGTTGGCCTAGATTTTCCATATCCAGCTGGTCCTCAGTTTGTATTTTCTTCTTTGCCTTCATTTCAGTTTTCAATTCTTGAACTGTTTCCATTACCTGTTTGATGGTTTTTTCTTGGTTTCCCAGGGTATCATGTACATATTTACTCATTTCTTCAAACTTTTTGTTATACTTCTCATCCATTTCTATAAGGGCATTTTTTACATGTTGTTTAAGGGACTCTATTATCTTCATAAAGTCGATTTTTTCCACTTCTTCTGTGTTAGGTTGTTCAAATACTTCTGTTGTAAGATCATTGGGTTCTGATGTTTTCATGTTGTTTTTCGGATTATTGGGTGAGTTCTTGCCTTGGCGCCTGCCCATCTCCTCCTATTGATCCTATCCAATGGATCCTTTAGAAACCGGATCAGGTTTCCCTGCTGGCCAAGGGCTCCGCTTACAAAATGCCCTCACTCTCTTTCGTGGTTCCTGCTGCAGGCCAAGAACCCTCTCACCCCTCCGAAGGATCTTCAGGACAGGACCAGGCTCCCCTTGTGCCAGTGACCTGGCCAACCAAAGGCCTACCTCTTTGATTCAATTGTAGTAGGGCGATCTGCTCTCCTTATTGCACGCCTGTCCCAGCCGCTTGGGTCTGGCCGCCGCTCCGCCGCGTCTGGCGCCGCCGCCGTGCTGCCGCCGCTGCGCCGCGTCTGGCGCTTATTTTAGCTTTTTGGCTATAGTTTTGAGGCCAGGGCATATTTCTTTCACTGACTCTGACCCCCCCCCCCCCATTTACTGTGTTAAGGACTGAACTGCAAACATGCTAGGCAAGTGTTCTTCACACCCCTCCCCCCCTTTACTGTGTTAAGGATTGAACTGCATACATGCTAGGCAAGTGTTCTTCCACTAAGCTGTATCTCCAGACTGCCAGGTCCAAAAGAAAAAGGGACAAATGGTGAACTGCGGTGCCTATTAGCATATGAAAGTGAATTAGGGCCTCTAAAAGGACCCTTCTCTCAGCTCTTCTCACCCATCCCTACCCAAAACCGTTCTAGACTATGGGCTTCCCTTGCCCCAGCTTTTGATTTTTATATAACCCTGCCATTTTTGCCATGCGTTTTCTTGGTTTCCTTTGCCTGAACTCTTCCTCATCCTCTCTTTTCTTCCTCTTTCTTTTTCCTCTCATGGTCCTGGTCAGTCTGTGGGTCATGTTTAGTTCACTACTTTCTCTCGCTCTTCTGGACTCTTCTAGAAGCCTCTGTTTGTACTCTTCCTCATATCTACTATACAAACCTTCCTCTCAACCATACCCCCACTTTCTATACAGACCGTGCTGTCGAGTATCTACCAAATGTATTTTTATTACAGATTTTGTGATAGAAGCATCAATACATGGTAGTGTTAAGCATGGAATGTCTTCTGAGACTTGTTCATTGAAGGCGCAGTGATATTATGATACCTTTACTATGTGAATATTTTACAGCTGATGACATTTTAATAATAAAGATACCTGACAACTTTCTCATTTTGTAGGAAACGAGGAGCTAAAATTACATCCCAAAGGGCTGATGACTTCAAGGAAAAGTTTCAACACAAACTTGGAAGAGTTTTAGACCCGTGAGTTTGAACTTGAGGTCCATATCATCTGCATAGTTTGAAATTGAGGTCCTCTGGTCATCTGCATAGACTTGATGGCACACATCTGTCATCTTAGTACTGAAAAGTAGAGGCAGGAGGACAGGAGCTTAAGGTCATCTTTACCTATATTATTGAATTGGAGGCTAACCATTGAAAACCAATGTTGGTTTGCATTTTACTAAATTTCTTTTATTGAATAAGGAAATTATTCTTCTGTTGTTTGTCAGTGGAATACTGTCACTGCCTACAGCAGTAGACTTGTACACATTTTGAGAAGAGGAAGAGAGAATTCTGTATGAAGCTTAATTTCTTGTATATCAGAAAAAACATTTTGACCATATTTGGTTTGAATCCTATCTCCCCCACCTCCACCCCTCCCTTCCCATGGAGTGGTCTGCTGGGAAAACCTTCAGCCATTGTTAATGTAAATGAACACTAGACTCTTGTGCCTTCTCTTTGATTTTTCACAGTGTGTCTATAGAAGAGTCTATAGACTATAGTCTATGGTAGTTTGTTAAGGGCCTAAGGCAAACATATATAATGTTGAGCTTCAGATGGTGGGAACTTTAACTAAAGAGTCTGCTTTCTCCTGTAGAATTGCAGAAACTATGAATGTTGACCCAGGCCACACATTTGGAGCTTGCCTCCAGCCTGAGGACTATGGTAAATATGTGACTTTTCTTCTTGACAAATTAACACATCCCCATTAATGGAGTGGCTTTCTTAGAGAAGCCCACACCCAGGTCCTGGGTGTGACTTTCTGAGAGTCTCGTTTTCTATCAACCCCTGTGCTTTTAACCTGTATCGAAATATCTGAAATAATCTCTTTTCCCCAAATCCCCATAAAGGGCTGCAGGTGCTGGGGTCTTGTTATTGCTCAGCATGCTGACTCTGGACGCATACTAAATAAACTGTTGAAAAACATACCCAGAAAGCTATGCTGCTACATTCACCATGGACATTTTTGTAGTGCTAGAGGTTGACCCAGAGCCTGATGCATGCTAGACACAGCACTCTACCATTATGATGTTTCCAGTGCCTCGAAGCTTCTGATGTGAAAGCATTAACGTTTTATAACATTAATGATGTATGAGAAAGATATTTTTATGTTATATGTGAACTAATACAGTTTAAAGGTCCTATCATTAATACTGTATATGGATTTACATAGAAAATAAATATAAACTTATTAAGCGAACTCAGTGAGATAAGCCAGCTTTTCATTTAATTTCAATGTACTTACATCGTGACAGGGAGGTCTCTTGGTGCCTCTTAAAAATACAAATTCTGACTGAGCTGTGGTGGTGCATACCTTTATTCCCAGCATTTCGGAGCAGAGACAGGAAGATCCCTATGAGTTTGAGGCCAGCCTGGTCTACAGAGGGAGTTCCAAGATAGCCAGGGCTGTTACACAGAGAAACCCTGTCTTAAAAACAAACAAACAAACAAACAAACAAAACCAAAAAAATACTGCAAAATCTGGGTTGGCAAGATGACTCAGTGCCAACCTTGGGGCCCATATGGTGGAAGGACAGCCAGCTCCCAAGTGTTGACCTTTGACCTCCTCATGAGTGCCATGGTGCACTTGTGAGCCTCTAAGTGCTCATGCCTGTGCACATGTCCCCCATGTACCCTATACACAAGTAAGGAAGTATATGTACATGTGTGTGCAGGTACCCTGTAAACCAGAGGAGTTACAAATGGTTGGTGAGTCATCTGATGTGGGTGATGGGATGTGAACTCGGGTCCTCTGGAAGAGCATTGCACGCTCTTAATCACTCAGCCATCTCCCTTGCTCAGTAAGTATATATTTGTAGCGTGATTAATAGAAACCCAGAGACAGATATTGGGTTTTACCCGAAAGTCAGAAAAGTAAAACAGCCAGCCACTGACTCTTACCTCTACCTCAGTCTGAAATGGTGATCCTGCCTCTAGGAATCTCAGAATGAGACTATGTCTGAGAGCTGTCTCCTTCTGTTTTATAGTCCTCTTTAGTTCTGGGATTAAAGGTGTGCACCACTGGGTTTAAAGGCGTGCATCACCCAGTTTCCATGGCAACTAGTGTGGCTATTGGGATTAAAGATGTGTGTTACCACTGTATGGCCTGCAAGGCTGACCAGTGGGGCTGTTTTACTCTCTGATCTTCAGGCAAGCTTTATTTATTAAAATACAAATAAGATGCTGCTACGTATTATTTCCTTCTTAAGTCTCTGAGGGAGTTGAAGAATAGATAGTTACAGTTATAGTTTTCCGTGTTTACTTGAGGCAGAAAGCAAATTATGATAGAAAGTAAATTAGGTACAAGATTTTGGACTCACCAAGATAGAATAGAAATGGCATATTTGCTCTGAATTTGTCAGATGCAAATGGACTAAACATTGTTGAACTGTTTATTTCCTATGTGTATTGCATACAGTCATTGTACTTATTGCATGTAGTTTTTTATATTAGCTATAGCCTCCTTTTTATTTTAGACAGAAAAGGGAAAGGTAATGATATTTTATTTGTATTTTAATATGTAAAGCTTTTCTAAAGATGAGAAAGTAAAACAGCCTCATTGTTCAGCCTTACAGACCAGGCAGTGGTGATACACACCTTTAATCCCAGTAGCTACACTAGTTGCCATCGAAACTGGGCAGTAGTGGTGCACAGTTTTAATCCCAGTGCTAGAGAGGAATACAAGATGGGAGAGACAGCTCACAGACACAGTCTCATTCTGAGATTCCTGGAGGCAGGATCACCATTTCAGGCTGAGGTAGAGCTAAGAGCCAGTGGGCAGATGTTTTGCTTTTCTGACCTTCATGTTGAACCCCAATATCTGTCTCTGGATTTTTATTAATTGTGCTATACATATTAAATAAAGAAATGAAGGCTGCAGAGATTGCTCAATGGTTAAGAGCACTTGATCTTCTAGAGGACTGAGGTTCAATTCCCAGCACTCTCATGGTGGTTCACTTCACTTCCAGGAGATGCAATGCCCTCTTTTGGCTTCTATGAACACTAGGCACACATGTAAGACACAGACACACATGCAGGCAAAATATTATATACAAAAAATATTAAAAATAAAGAGGAGAAATTTTAGGCCACACTATAAATTTACAGAATCAGAAACTGTTTTGTGATATATTTTTTGAGGCAGTACAACTTGCTATAAGTCTTATCTATCTCTCCCAATCCTGGGATTACACTGTGCACAGCAACACATTTGTTTATCCATGGGACCCATCTTGAAACATATTTAAATTGTAATGTACCCTCCTCAGGGACGGTGGCTCATTCTGTAATTCCAGCATTTGAGAGACTAAGAATGGATGGTTGCTTGAAGTTTGAGGATATCTTAGAGTAACAGAGCAAGAGAACACGTCTAAAATGTTTTTGATTGTTCTTTTCAGTATGGGACTGAACTCGGGCTTTTCGCAATGTGAACAAATGCCTACCTCTATCTATATCCTTAGCCAAGAGAGATCTTGCCTCAAAAATGAGAGAGAGAGAGAGAGAGAGAGAGAGAGAGAGACAGAGAGAGAGATATCATAAGCACTCTGCTTTTGCACAGCTGCATAATTTCGAATCACTCTCAGGCAGCAAATCATCAACCAATCTGTAGGTGGCAGAAGACATTTGTTAGGAGGTCTTTCTTCTAGTTTGTCTTTAAATTTTTTTTAAAAGTTCTTCGTGTTTGAGCTCCAGCTTGCTATATAGCCAAAAGGGCCTTGAACACCTGATTCTCCTGTCACAGCCTTCTACATGGATTACAGAACCGTGACAACATGCCAAGCTTTTGTTTTGGTTTAGTTTCACTGAGTAGCTCAGGCTGGCCTCAGGTATATGTCAGTTTGTTTTCTATTGTGATAAACACCATGACCAAAAAAGCAACTTGGGAAAGAAAGTGTTTATTTCAGCTTACATTTTACACTCCACCACTGAGGAAAGCCACATCACGAACTCTGAAAACAGAAACTGAAGCAGAGCCCACAGAGGAGCACTTCTTACTGACTTGCTCCCTAGGGCTTGCTCAACCTACTTTCTTACACAGCATAGGACCTCCTGCCCAGGGATGGCACAATCTACAGTGGAATGGGCCTTCCCACATCTGTCACCAGTCAAGAAGTGCCCCATAGGCTTGCCTCTTTTCAGATAATTCTAGCTTGTGTCGAGTTGATAAAACATTAGCCAAGACAAGGTAGGTGTGTGCTTCACTTTGGGTTAAGGCAGTCTTTGTTTTATACATAATAAAGAAGAGGAAGACCTGGAGCGCAGAGGTAGAGTAATTGCCTAGCATGCTGTGGCCCCTGGTGGATTCCTCAACACCGTAAACAGAAGAGGCATACTTCAAAAGGGAAGAAATACACTAGTGTTTATAAGCATATTGGATTTAGTGATAAGGCTTACTTGAAATTCAGTGTGTTGCCTAGACTGACTTTGAACTAGTGATCTTCACTTAGTAAACTAGTGAACTTCAGCCTCCTTTGTGCTGGGATTGCAGGCACAATCCACAATGCCTAGTAGATTGTTGCGGGAGGTCCTCCCACTCCTCCAGCCTATAGCCGCTGAGATACCAGCCCATTGTGGCGTGGTCTCTCTTCATTTAAAAAGGCGGCCACTTCCCTCTGCTCTCTCTCTTCACTTCCTGCTCCGCTGGTGACTAGACTCCCTTCCTGGTTGCATAGAGGGCTGTGATCTGTAAGTTTTTCCCCTTTAAATAAATACCACCCTATTAATAACTCATGGCTTCAACCTGCTGAGTGCGGGGATTACCAGTGTGGGCCATTATACCCTACAGGACCTTTTCTTTTAATCACACCACCCCACCTCCTGCAGGCAGACAGGGTCCAGGGCCTCATAATTCCAAACTGGTGTGGCATTGTTTGTGACTTACGCCTTCAGTTGGCACCCAACATTTGGTGTTAGGACCTCTCCTTCCCCCGCTCGGCTGCCAGCCGCGAGTTCGGCTTGGCGCAAGCCTCCCTTCCTCAGCCGCAGCCTGTTGGCGGCGGCCTTGTGGCCTGTGTCTTGTGCATGGAGCCAGCAGCTTAATATAAATCATCACGCACTGGCTTTTCTTGCTGCAGTTCTTTATATTTTCTCTTTAGACACCTCAGATTGACTTCCAGTCCCCACGCACCCTAACGTCTGCCTCCCCACCTGGATTTAAACTCCACAGGCCTGCGTAGTCTCTGCCCGCGTGGTTTGCTCTTTTCTGAGTTGTTTTTAAATCTCCCTTGCAGAGCACGCGGTTGCTGAAAGCTGCAACCCCTCAGAGTGACTCTGTCACGTGGAGGCATAAGCGGCTTCCAGGTTGCTTTTCTCTACTGGATTCTGGGTTTCTGGTTCCGTATCTGGAATTGATTTAATTACATTTACTTTGTTGAGAAACTTGCATTTTCCAGTTTTTAACATCTACTAAGGCACTGACTGAAACAGGACCCCGTTTTCATCGCGACTCGGCAACATCGCCACCTGCTGGATAATAGATAATATGGCAGTTTTCGTTTCTAACGCAAAATTTACTGCTTTGTTTTCACTAATACAATGGATTAGTAAATTTATATTTACTAATACAATGGATTACGTCATACAAGGTTTATATGATTATGGGGATACCTTAATTTGCTTGTTACTAGGTTTCAGTTTTCTTTTCCATATTCTATCATAAAGGAAGA